TAATTTAGATTATTTGAATTATTTTTGAATAGGTTATTTTTATTTATCAAATTTTAATTATTGTAAAGTTGTTAACTATTATCTTAAATTAATTTATTCTATTATAATTACTCAATATTTGTATTAGAAACTGGTTTATGTTCCTAGATCGTTTTTCTTTTTACAAATTAAACTTCTTCTAATTCATTTAAATTATCATCATATAGATTTTCTTAAATATTCTGTACAAAATTGAATTATTAAGTATCTTAGTTTTTAATTTTTGTATTTAAAGGTGATATTCCATTAGTTTTCTTTGAATAAATCGAATATACTCTAATTTATTTAGATTCTTATCTTTTAAGAGCACCTATACGATCCTAATTATCAATCAAAATCGTTTGTGTTGTAAAACTTCTTTTACTAACAATGTTTAAGCATTCGTTTGCCTTTTTAAATTAGCAAATCTAATGTTTGACGTCATTTAATAACTTTTCTTTTGCTTCAAAATTATATTTTTAAAAGTCTACACAGTTAAATTCGCTAAGATTATTAAGAAATTATATTTAGTTTATTTAAAAACGTTTAGTTGAAAATAAAATTATATTATCATCTTAAACTTTCTGATGTTTTGTCTTTTTTTTTGTTTTAAAAAAAAAATATATTTATATATATATATATATATATATATATATATATATATATATATATATATATATATATATATATTTTACCTCAACATTTATTTTACTCACAAAATCGAATAAGGAATTATAATTATTGAAACTATCTGAAAGAATCCTTTAAAAATTTTAAATTTAAGTAGATATTATCTGATATGGATCTTATATAATTTTTAAAAGTTTATCATGAAATATTTTTATTGATTATACTAATAAAAAATTATCATTCATCTTTTTTTATATTTTTAATTATAGAAAAAAAAATTAAATATATTATATTAATTATTTATATTAATAATAAGTATTAAATGGAAATAGATACGGCAAATTTAAAATATAAAAATCTAACTTTTATATTTTATAATAAAATATACTTTTTATTATGCATTATGTTTTTTTAATTTTCTTTGATTTTTTTTTAAAAATTATTGGTTAAAAAACCATTATTTTAATTATATAAATTTAAATCAATTTTTTGTGAAATTTTTTTATGATTAGATAATTAATTATATTATTTTATTTAAATATCTTAAATTAAAAATTTATAAGTATTAAATAAATTTTTTCATTTTCTTTTAATTATTATTTGATTTATTATAATAAGATATATTTTAAACAATATTATTTATAATATATTTGACTATCTAATTTTTTTTCATATTGAAATGTTAATTAATTATAAAATATATTAAAAATATGAAATTTTGATATAATTTAATTTATCATAAAAAAAATAAAAATAAAAATTCTACAATAAAATATCTATAAATAATTATTTTGTATTTTAATTCTGATAAAATATAAATTATATTCTTTTATTCTAGGTTTCGTATTTCAAAGTAATTATAATGTTTTTAAATAATGATTTTTAATATTTATTTTTTATTTCATGAGTATGAATAATAATATAATTTTTATTTATAATATATCTTATTTTTTAATTGGCTAAACATATATTCGTCTGCATTCTAAATCGATACATAAGGTTGAGTGAGGGAAAATATATTCATTTTTATAAAATATTTTATATATTTTAGGCTTTAATTATGGTTGTATTTCTAGATAAAACACATAATCATGAAGATTTTGTTTTGTATTTGAACTTTTTAAATCAATTATATTAAAAAGTAGCCAATATTAATAGATTTTATACTCTTTTCGAAAAATTTAAGACTAAATAAGTTGCACTAGTTTCGTCAATATAAATATAAATAACATTATATTATTATTTGATATTCATGCAAACTAATATTATTTTCTATTCTTGTTGTTTATTTAATTTTATCCACTATTTTAGTTATTATTTAACTAATAGTTTTATAAGTGTATTTTATTTTTTAAAGTATTAATTAGATAGATAGCACCATTACTAAGTTCTTTTTAAATCGATTTTTTTATATATTAAATACATTAGTTTATCTGTAATAATTCTTATACACATTGTATCATCTTTTCTATTTTTTTAATTTAAAAACTATTTATAAATTCAGTTTGCATTCTTTAAACAATATTTCTATGTTATTTATATTATTTTATAATCATTAAACAATAAATATCTATTTAATAAATATCTATTTTGTATTTTAAAATCAATTTATGTTTAATAACAAAAATATATAGTAATGTAGTTGTAAGAATAAGTATTTAATAAAGATATAAAATAAGAAAAATATATATTCGACATATTTATTTTTATTATATGTTTAAAATATTTATTGTTAAATATATATTATCTAGATAAGAATAGTTTATTGAATTGTATAATAATGTTATTTTTTTACTACTTTTATAAGTAAAAAAATAATTATTATTTTATAAAACACAATTTAAATTCTGTAGATTTGCAACTATAAAAAATATAAAAATTAAAGACAAATAATATATTATAATTTATTTTATACAATAAAATAAGATTCTTATAAAAATGAAATTAAACTTTTAAATAATTTATTTTATTTAGAGCTATAATTATTTTAATTTATTACTTTTACTAATAAATAAAAATAATATAACAGTTTAAAATAAGAAATTTAATTAATTAGAAGTCAAACTTATGTTATTAAATTTTGAAAGAGGACTATAAAAGTAAGGATATCTTAAAAAAGGAGTAAAATAATGGAGAAATCGCTGATTGTGAAATAATAAGAAAAATTTTTCTTCTTAAAATTTAAGGAAGAAGAAAAAAATATTATATTTTTATTAGTTTATGTATATTAAAATATTATTACAATTATAATGTTATTTTTATAATTAAAAATAATATATAAATTAGTTATAAACTTATAAAATATAAAAATATGATAAAAAGCATGAATGTTTCGTTTTCGGACAATCATATAAAATTATATAAATAAATATAAATTTAAATCTCTATAAATTAATTTAAATATTGACTTTTTGTTTTTTATTTTCCATTTTGAATAATATTATTATTGTATTTAGTTCTAATGAAACTTATAGATGTGTTTATCAAATTAAACTAATATATATTTTGAAAAAGAATTCAAATTTAAATGAAAAAAAAAGAAATAATAATATATATTATAAAAATATTAAATTATTTAATAAAAAATATTTTTTTCTTAATTTTTCATAAAATATATATACAAAGATAATTAATTAAGAAATAAAAAATATTAAACAATTTTTTTTTTCAAAATGAAAAAAAAAAAAAAACTAATTACATAAATAAAATAAATCACAATTAAATTCTATTTAAAAATTTTATACAATTTAATTTGAAGAACATTATAAAAAAAATAATCTTTTATTATAATTTTTTTTTTTTTATAATTATATATCTTTTTCTATATAATATTTAAATCTTGATTAAATGAAATTTTCTAAAAATGGAAATTTTAACAGATAATAAAATTAAAAAAAAAAAGAAACAGTTTAGTTAGAAAGTTAAATACATATTTTTTAAAAAAATAATCAAATATTCATATTATTATTTTTAAAAGAAAATAATTCATTAAGCAAACAAAATGTTTTAAAAATCTAAGATAAACTATAAAAAAATTAAAATATTATGGAAGAAATGAAAAAATATTAAATAAAATCAATTAATGGAGATTAAAATATTAAATTTAAAAAAGAAAATAACTTTGTTAAAAATATAAAAGAATAAGTTAAAAATAACAAATGTTAGTATATCATATTTAATCGTATTTTGTAATTAAGAGTATAATTTATTTATAATTATTTAAACCATTTATTAAAAATAAAAGAACGAAGCAGTAAAGCTTGTAGAAAATAACTTTGTAGAATTTATTATGACTATTAATACATTTGTTGCTTTATTTGCAGATGACATAAGAATAATATCATTTAATAAAGTATATAAAATAAAATATTAAAAAATAATAAATAAATACAAATATTTTCAATTTTATATATATACAATAAATAAATAAAATATAAGAATAAATAATATATAAAAAATAACAATAAATAAGAAAACATATTAAAAAATTGTAATTATAATATAACTAATAATATATAATAAATTATAGGAAGAAGATCATATAATTTACTTAATTCTTTTTGTTTCTTTTGGATTATTTTTAATTGAATTTATCTTATTACTCTTTTTAAAATAAAATTATACTTTTTCATTTAGCTTTTTTATGGATTTTTTATCTACATTTACTTTAATACTTGATATTCCTTGGCTTTCATTATAAATAATTCAGTTTGATTTTAATTAAACATCATTAGGAATTTTAAAGTTTTTTTTATAAAATAAATTCTTTTATAAAAGTAATTTAAAAAATAGGGCCGGAAGAATTTCTCGTGTAACAACTAGGGCAACTAGATTAATAAGATTTTTAAAATTAGTCCGTTTAATAAGGCTTGGAAAGTTATATAATCATGCGTTTGAAGTTATAAATTAAAGAATAAATAACCTTATAAAAATTGACACTAGCGAAGAAAGTTAATAAGTCGAAAATAATAAAAGTATTCCAGATAATAAGAATTTTTAATGTTCATAATAATATTCATAATATTCATATAATTCAAAAATAACTAAACATAACTTAAAAGTAAATATAATTGAAGAGTTTAATTAATTCGAGAACACATTATTTTTGAATTACGGAGGTATTTCAGTTATCAAACCTTCCAAACGGAATTTCAATTTAGGCTCTTAATCTGCTTATAATAATAATAATTTGCTTTGTAATATACCAACACCTTTATTATCCACAAAGTAAACATAAAATTAATGTTTTTATATAATTTAAATAAAGCCGACAAATCAAATAAAGAGAATCAGGCTTGAGCAACCCTTAATAAATTTCGATAATTATTCAAAAAAATACGAACTATAAATAACCTATGTTTTAAACAGAAGAAGATGAATAGTATTTTAAATAAAGTATATTTTTTTTTTATTATTTTAAACAATTTTTTTTTTTTCCTCTTTTTTTTTAATAATAAATTAAGATTCAGATTTCTGACAAATGAATTTGTTATTGAAGAAGATTAATAATAAGAAAACAATTAAGAAACTGAAAAACTTTTGAAAAGTTAGAATTAAAACTAGCCTGTGGAAACTAAAATTGGAAGTGTATTAACTGATATAACTACAAAGAGAGTAATTATTTTAATATTTAGTATAATTGTATCTATTCCTTTGTTTTCAACTGAAACATATTCAGAATAAAATATAACTTCTTTAAAAACTGGATTAGATTTTTTATAATTGATGAGAGAGTAATAAAATGTTTAAATAATTAATTGGACGATTTAAAATTATATAAATGATCATATAAATAGATAAGATATTCGATATGAAGTTATATTTTTGAAAATAAATGAAATTATTTATAAAGATAGTTTATAGTTATAAAAATTAAGAGAAAGTGAATAAATTATATATGAAACAAACTTAGAAAATAATTAATTAGAAAGCTATAATCTTATATATTCTGTAAGAAAAGATGCAGAATTAAATGCAATTTTATCTATTTCTAGGTATTAATATATATATATATATATTATTTATAATTAAGAAAAATAATAATATATAATAGAACTCTTGTTCTTATTTTAATTTTAGTAGTTTCTTCGATTTTTTTTAATAAAGATTCAAATGAAATAGTTGTAGATCCAATAGTAAGAATGCTAGTGAAAATAAAAATGATAAGTGAAAATCCTCTAGAAGCAGCTCGAATATCAGAAGATGAGGCAGTAGCAGAAGAGGAATACAAAAAAACATTAAACAAAAAAGAGCTTGAGATACTTTTAAGGAAAAAACAATATGAAACGACTATATTAGAAACCACAATTATTAAAATAGGAGGTTTATTAGCCTTAGGATTTGGGGAAGCTGGTTCTTAAATAATAGCTTAAAATATGAGCAATGATGGAAATATTAATCCAATGATACCTGGTAAAAAAATAATGGCAATTTTCGGTTTTGTTTCTATCCGAAACTTTATTGATGTTACAAATATTTTATAAGAATCTGTTATGTTATTTACAAATTAAATTGCAGAGATTATTCATATTGCCTGTGATTCTTATCATGGAATTGTAAATAAAAATCTCGGTGATTGCTTTCTGATTATATGGAAGTTTGCTGAAAAAGATAAAATCCTTTCTCTTGTGGATGATTAAATTTTTGTTGAAAAACTTTAAAACTGCTCTAATTTTACAGATTTGTCAGTTGTGGCTTTTCTTAAAACTCAAGCTAATGTTTATAAATTAAGCTAGACTAAATTATTTGTAAAATTTATTATTATTTCAAAATATTTATATTTATTTTTAAGAAATAACACCTGGAATCTATTAAATAATATATTCCTGATTTTAAATTAAAATTGGGTTTCGGATTACATGTTGGTTGGGGAATAGAAGTAAAAAAAATTATTAATTATAATAAAAGTATTTAAAAAAGGGATCTATTGGTTCGTAATTTAAAATAGATGCAAGTTATTTAAGTCCAAACGTAAATCTGGCAAGCAGATTGGAATGTGCAACTAAATAATACGGAGTTAGTTTATTATTAAGTGGTGCTGTTTATAGACTTTTATCTAATAAAACTTAAAAATATTTAAGGCATATAGATAGAGTTACTGTTAAAGGTTCTTAATAACCTATGGATTTATATACTTGTGATATGAATAGTAACATGATTTAAATTGAAAAGGTTAAAGATAATATAATCGTTGAGATTAATAAATACGAAAATAAGAAGGTTTTAAGATTTATCTAAAGAAAAAAAAAAGACATAAGATATTATAAGATTATAAAAAATTAAATTGTAATTAATAAACTATTTGATATAGATAATGATTTAATTATTATGAGATAAAATTATAACTAAGTAAAATTTAAAATATGTATTTAAAGAAAAAAAAAAATATTAATAAAGGAATTCTTTTCTGTTTTTCATTAAGGTTTAGTTTCATATTTAGAAGGATATTGGAAAGATGCATAAATTAAATTTTAAATAGCTTAGGTTTTTAATTTAATAATATTATAAATATACATTTTTGTTATATTTTTTAAAATTAAAAAGGAGTTATTTTTTAGAAACATTAATAATTAGCAATAAAAATGTGTTGATTATCTATAAATAGAGGAAAATATTTAATTAGATGGTCCTATTTAAACTTTGATTACATATATGAGTAAATTTTAATTTGAATCTCCTTACGACTGGAAGGGATATAGAGAATTAGTTGATAAATGAAAGATACTTTTACATTAATTTTATAACAATAAATATATGTGTTTTATAAAAAAAATATAAGACGCTATATTATTTTATTATAAATATTAAAATGTTAGCAAAATTACGAAAATTTATAATTTTGTAATTTTGATTTAAAAAAAAAAATTTTTAGTACCAAAAACAAAATATAAAAATTGAAATTTGAAATAAATAAATAAATAAAAAATACACAAATAAAAATTCTAAAAAAATAAATAAAAAAAATATAAAATATATTTATTAATATAAAATTTAGAGCTTTAAAACAAACCAAATCATTTTTAAAACAACTTAAAAGTATAAAAGCTAGAGTAAAAAATCCAAAAATAAAACATAAAATGCAGATAGAAAAATAATCCGAGAAATAATCAAATCATCAAGCAGTATAAGTAGCCATTCGACTACGTCCATTTACATAAAAGGAAGAATACGAAATAAATGTAAATTAAAATCCAATAATACAAATAACTGAAACAAATACTGTAAAAATAAACAAAGAAAAAGAGTTTGAATTTGACCTTGCATTCGACACCGAAAAGATCCTAAAAAGATATATTCGAATAATCAATAAAATAATTATTAGATAAATTTTATTAAGGCCAAAATGCTGCAATACTAGCTTATGGTTAAACAGGGTCAGGTAAAACATATACAATGGGAACATAAGCAAATCTGGAAGAAGAAACAAAAGGCATAATACCTCGAGCATTAGAAGACATATATAAATATATAAATAATCTTTAAAGTCATGATGAAGAGACAGAATATCAACAACCAATAAAAAAGACTCTAAGTATATCATACATAGAAATCCACAATGAAATTATTATAGACCTTTTGGATAAATCGAAGTCTTCAAATATCCAAATTCGAGAACTAAATGACGGAAAGTCAATATCTCTGACAGGAATAACAGAACAATCTTCTTTTTCAATAGAAAATGCTCTATAAATTCTCCAAAAAGGAGCATTGAATCGTTCTACTTCGGCAACTTTAATGAATGAAACAAGTTCTCGTTCTCATGCAATATTTACGCTTTATTTAACTTAGTAAAAAATGGACGAAAGTGTTCTTACAAGTAAATTTCATTTTGTTGATTTGGCTGGAAGTGAACGAATTAAAAAAACAGGAGCATCCGGATGTACCCTAAAGGAAGGGATCAATATTAATATGGGACTTTTGTGTTTAGGGCAAGTTATTTTTGCACTAACTGAATAAAAAAAAGGACAAAAAATTCATGTGCCGTATCGTGATTCAAAATTGACGAGAATCCTTTAGGATAGTTTAGGAGGAAATAGTAATACTTTAATGATAGCTTGTGTAAGTCCAGCAGAAAGTAATGTAGAAGAAAGCTTGAATACAATAAAATATGCTTGCAGGGCTAGGTAAATTAGAAATAAACCAGTTATTAATTTTGATGCTAATACAATCTAAATGAATTTATTAAAAGAATAATTGATGGAGAGTTAAAATGAAATATTTAAGCTTAGGAAAATGATGGAAGAATAAAATTTTGGAGTAATCAATGATTTGGACTTTTTGAAAGTTATTTAAGAAAAAGATTAGTTATTACTTTAAAAAAGTCAAGCTCTTCTTATTGTTAATAATAATTATAAACATAATTAAAGTTTGTGTTAATAAATATTGAATGCTTTTTAAAAATAAGAGGAAGAGGATTAAATTTCAAACGAAAATTAAAGTTTTTAATTAGAAACTATTTAAAAATGTTAGAGCTTGTAAATAGAATTGAATAGTGTAAATTAGGCGTATAATTAATTAATGAAAGAATACGAAAATCTTACTAATATGTGTATTTAATAAGAAAAAATGCATTTAGAAAAAGACAGATAAATAAAAATTCTTAAAAAATAATTACTATAATTAAAAGAACAGTATTAAGAAAAAACATAACAATCAGAATTATAATAAGAAGATGAAGAAGAAGATGAAGCTGAAATTTTAAATGAAGAAGATTTTAAAGAGATTGAAAATGATCCCAATTATGCTTTGATTTAAAAAAAAATGGAAGAATTTGAAAACACTAAAAAGACTATAAATCAATAAATAAAAGCTCGAAATGAAGAAATGCGTATTCTTCATAAAGAATAACTTGTTAATTAAGAAAAATTACTATAAAAAATGAAAGAGAAATCATTTTAGAAAATAAACTAAATGGAAAATGAGGAAAGAATGCCTGATAAAAGTGAATTTGCAAAAGGAAAAATGTAAGAACTTTAATAAGAAATATAAAAAAATAAATAAAAATTAAAAGAATAATCAAAATTGTAAATGTAATGTAAAAATTAAGAAAATAAAATAAAAGAATTGGCTAATTAAATACAAAAATTGAAAGATTTAAAAATTTATTATTGTAAGGAAATGAAAAAAACTAATGATGAATTTTAAAAATTTAAACAGTAAAAAATTTAAGATTTAATTAAAGAAAAAAGAAAAAATACTTAATTTTAGACAGAAATTTTTAAACTTTAAAATTAAGCGAAAATTGCGAAATTTAAACTGGCAAAAAATCAATAATAAATTTAAAAACTTTCAAAAACTCAGTAAATTATTTCTAAAATTAATAAAAAAGTTTCACTTAAAACTTCATAAAATATATAATTTGAGTCAATTATGCCTTCCATTTTTGGAAAAATTAGTTCTTCAGCTGAAATTAGTATTTAAATTTGTAAAGAAGAATAATAACTTTTACAAACTTAGGCCTAAATAGAAGAAGAATAAGCCAAATTTATATAAATTAAAGTATAAAATCCTTATAATACAGCAGAATTAGCAAGTATTAAGCTTTATATAGAATCTCTGGAAGAAAAATATGAAATTTAATAATAGAAAAATATTTAAACAAGATCTTAGAATTATCTTACATTAGAAAAAATATTAGAAAATATTTTTGATGATCAACGTTTTAACGAAATATAAATATTTAAGTTATTTTTAAAATTAAGTTTAGAAACATATTATGAAACTTGTATTAAAATGGTAAAAATTTTAGAAAAGAATTAGGCTTTATAAGCTGAATTATAAGAAAAGGAGAAATATATCGAATAAATAAAAGAATTAGAGAATTTAATACAGAAAAATATGCAAGAAATAAACGAAGAAACCGAAATAACTGAAGAATTTGAAGAAATGGAAGAAGAATAAGAAGAAGGCGAAAATTTTTTTTTCGGAAAAAATAAATAAATTCAACAATTAAAATTTAAAAAAAGAAAAGAAGATGAAGAAAATGCATCTTTAAAAAAAATAAAGAAAAAACCAAATAATATATAAGATATTATAAAAATGTATTAAAAAACGATTTCTGATTTATAAAGAAAGCTAAAATAATCAGAAATTCGAGAAAAGATTCTCAAAAAAAAGAATGAAACTCTATAAACTAAATGTATTGACATCAAAAAAACATTCTGTAAAGATAAATATATAGGAATAGATGAAAAAAATCCTTTAAATAATATTACTAATAACATTTCTTTACCTAATCTGACTTCTTATAAAGATAAAAGGAAAGAAAATTTACTTAATAATAACTATTCTGAATAAACACTTTCTTTTTAAAAATAAATCTAAATTCTAGATAAAATCACAAATTAAGAAATCTTCAAATTCTCACATTAATAAGACCTAAATTTAAATACTTCTTCATCTGAAAAAAAGGAAGAACCTGAATTTTGTTTTTCAGAAGTAACAAATAATAATGCAAATAATAATTCTTTTTATTCTAAAAAATATGATATTGTATGTAAATTTGAGGGTCATTAAGCCTAAATATTTGCCTTAAAAAATTACTAAAACATCCTTTTTTCCACATCCGCTAAAAGCCTTAAATTTTGGGATATTCCAACGTCTAAATGTATAACGGAAATTCCTCAAGCATCCAATTTTGTCAAAGGATTGGCAGTTTTTCCTTAAGAAAATTGGGTTATTACATCAGCAGATAAATATACGAATATATGGGATGTAAGAAATTCATCTAAAATAGCAACTTTAAAAGGCCCAAATGATGAAATTAAATAAATTTTTTTTAAAAATCAAACATTATATACTGCAGGAAAAGGAAGTAATATTTAAGGGGCATTAGTATTATGGGATATGAGAAAATAATAAATTATTGAAGAAAAAGAAAAAACCAAGATATTTTTGCACTTCTTTCTTCCAAAAATATACTTTATTATGGAAGTAGGGATCATTATGTACATAGAATTCCTGAAAATCCTAACTTTTTTTCTCCTGAATTTTCCACAAGTTTAGAACCTCCACATTATGATATTGTAACTTCTCTTTCTATTCTTAATTAAAATATTGTTTCGGCTTCTAAAGATAGAAATATTAAATTTTGGAATCAAAATACGGGAAGTCTTATTCATACTATTTATTCTAATGAACAAATAATTTGCCTAGAGAATAACTAAGATTATACACTTAATTATGTAGGGTATAGGAATGGAAAAATAAGAGTTTTGGGCGAATTTTCTAATTAAAAGTTTAAAGACGTGGCTGAAATCGATAGTGGATTGTAGTAAATTAATTGCATTTCTTAAATTTAAAACGATTCTAATGTTTTTGCTTGTGGATCTTAAGATAAATTTATTAGGTTATGGAAATAAATTGATGATTCGGATTGAATTTTTTTTTTTTATGAATATAGTATTTATACTAATTTTATATATTATAACTATAATATTAAATTATCTAATTTATATTTTATAAATTACATTTTTAATAATATTATTTATTAAAATGTATTTATTTTTAAAATTTTACATATTTATTTTTTAATTATAAGATTTTATTATGTTAATTTTTATCAAAATTAAGTTTATAATAAATAATTTTTTAATAACTATTAATAATAAATGTATTTTAAAAATATTATTTATAGTACTTATTAACTATTTAATAATAAGCATAAATTAAATAATTAAAAAAGTAAATATATTAAACTTATATATAACAATATAAAAATTAAAACATATAATAATATATTTATAATAATGCAAATAGATAACAATTTAATATAAAATAATATATAATTTTTTTTTTTTGAAATTACAATCTAAAAAAATACGTAATCTAAATAATTCTTTATGAAACAAAAAGCATATTTAATGTTTTTAAATATAAAAATATTTAATTATCATTTATTTATAAAAGTAATTAAATATTTACTATATAATTTAATTCAAAATATAAATAATAATAAATATATATTAATATAATTATTATAGTTTCATTTTTTTATTAACAAAATATGCTTTTCAACCAAAGTAAAATAGAAAATAAAGAAATTTTCACAGAAGAAATATAAATTAAAATAAACAAAATCTTAAAGGATATGATTGAATATGAAGATATACAATTAATCGGTCAATCGAAATTTAGTTTAGTTTTTAAATCATACAATATTAAATAATTATAAGAAGAAGCAATTAAAGTAATTGTATTTCATCATTCAAAAAAGAAAGTGTTGTAAGAATTAAGAAAATAAACTGAATAATTAAATAATATAAAAAATAATAATCTAGTATAAATATTTAAAGAAAATTTTATAGATAATGATAATTCATGTTTCTTATTTATTTTTATGGAATTATGCTAAAGTAAAAACTTCATTATTTAATTAATTTTTTTTAAAAAAATAAAGATAACCTTGATAATATTATGTAAAATTTAATTTAAATTTCCGAATAATAAATAACTGAAATTTTAATAAACATTTTAGATGGATTAAATTTTCTTCACAAAAAAAATATAATTTATAGAAATTTAAAAGCATCAAATGTTTTAATTAAAGATGGTAAAATAAAATTAGGTAATTTAATATTTATTATAAGAAAAAACCAAAAAAATTTAAAAAAAGCTGATTATTGTCTTCCTAATTTATTAAATCCATTTAATAAATCAAATGTATAAAAAAAAATTAATATTATTAATATTTATATATTAAAATAAGTTTGGAACACCAATGTTTGTTGCACCTGAAATAATGAAAGGACATCCTTATAGTATTCAAGTAATAATATAATTAAAGTTTTATAAAATTTATAATAATTAATATAGAGTGATATCTTTTAATTAGGATTTTTACTTATGAAACTAGATAATGTAAAATAATTATGCTTTAATGCTTTCTAAGAAGATCAACAAAATAAATATAAAATGCAAAAACTCTATGACAAAATATGCAAGACTAATGAAATTCCTTCAAAACTAAAAATAAAAACTCAAGGTTTTATATTTAAATTAATAAAATAAATGATTGATACAAATCCTTTTTTACGTAAAAACTGCGAATATTATATACATAACATTTTAATAAATTTAAAATCTTTAATAATGCCTATTCCTAATCTACTATCTTGTGATGCTAATACTTTACTTTTATAATGTAGACTTTTACATAATAACATATTATATTTTATTGTTATTTATTATTAAAAAAGAATAAATTTTTGAATAATCAATTTAAGAAATATAAGATTAAGATTTAAGTTTAATTCATAAAAAAGAATTATTTAAATATTTGTAATTTATATTAATATGTAAGTATATTAATAAAAAATATAATTTTTTTTAAAAAAAAATAAAAATAAAGAAATTATACAAATTAAGAAAATGACATGCTTTAAATTGCAAAACATTTTTATTAAAAAAAAGATTTTTATACCCACTTTAGTTTAGAATGTACTAATAGAGAATTTTCAGATAATCTATTTGTGGTTTTAGCGGAATCATTAAAATAATAAAATACTTTAATAAGCATAAACCTAAATATTAAGTTTTTTTAATTGAAATAAAATATTATATTATTTATTAATATTTTATATAAATTTTAATTTAAAAGTTTTAATTACAAATTCTCTGATGTTTCGTTGAAATCATTAGGTGAATCATTAAAATAGCATCACATTTTAAAATAGTTAATTTTAAATTTAAAGTAAAATAAATAAATAAAATATTAATATTATTATTTTTGTTAAGTTATAACCATACAATAACTGAAAATGGGTTTACAAACTTTTGCTAAAATTTAAAATTTTTAGACAAATTAATAGACTTATAATTAAATTTTATGTAATATAATTTATTAATAATTATAAATATAAATTTATCTTTTTTTTTAACAAAAAAAAGGGGATGTGTTGATTTTGCAAATAATTCGCTATTTTCAATTTCATTATTATTGCACAATTTAAAGAAATTAGAAGTTTTTTTTTAAACTTAAAGTTAACTAAAATTAATATTAATAAAAATTAATTTAAAAAAAATAGTTTTAGCAAAAATTTTAATGATGATGGATTAATAAGTATATCATAATAAATTTAAAACTTAGAATAGTTAAAAAAATTATCATTATTATTTCAGTAAACTCAAAAAAACAATTAATCTTATAATTTATAAAAAAAATATTTTAATATATTTAAAAGAAATAGCTATCTTTTTACTAATTATGGCTTAATATATTTCTTTGAAAGTATCTCTAATTTAAAAAATCTGGTATCTTTGGATATACAAATAGAGTAATATAATAACATAAATTATATTTATTTTATTAACAACAAAATATTATAAAAAGTTCAAATAAAAATTTTACTGATATACTTTTGTAAAAAATCGAAAAAGTATTATAAATTAATCTCAAAGATTTATAAGAATTTAAACTATACTTAAGCTAAAATATAAATTTTCTCTGTATATTTACTAGAAAAGCTTATACTTAATTATAAATTTGATTTCAAATTTAAGTAATTAATAATAGTTAAAATAATAAAATTTTATAAAAAAAAAATATATATTTTTTTTTAAATTAAGTCATAAAATTTAAAATATAAGTTAAAATTAAATGTAAAAACTAATTAATGATTAAGATAATTCTATTTGAAATATAGAGTATAACGTTTTTATTCTATAAATAAAAAGAATTGAATAAAATGATATTTACATAAATAATAAAATAAAGTATATATTCTTTTTTAAAAATCATTATTAACTATGTAAATGCAAAAAAATTATTTTTTCTCTAAAAATAAATATATTTCGATTTTTTTCAAAATATTGTTATTTCTTCTCCTAAAAAATTCAATTTAATTTTTTATCTATTTCAGTATTCATACTAATAATCTCTTTAGGAAAACAGTATCATTCATTATTTATTAAGAAAAAGAGCTTTATGCTTTTATACTTCCTTGAGTTCTTATAATATATTAAAAATATATAGTTCATATTTTGCTTTTTCTACTAATTTTACTATTTTCATACTAAAAAATTTTACATAAATTAATTTGTTTATTAGTAAGTTATCTCCTTAATAAATACGATTTTATATTTTTATTTTATATTGAAACTCTTTAGTTAAAAATCGAGAATCGTCTTCTCAATTCTTTTTTTAGTCAATTAATGTTTTTTATAAATCTTAAGAATTGAAAATTGCATTATTATATGAAATTCAAAAGTAATTTTTCGAAGTTATTGTTTTATTAATTAGTCTAAAATTCTGTTCCTAATTTATTAATATTATTTTTAGAATTGATTAGCTATGTTTATTACTGGATTTTTGCTTTTCGTTTACTTTTAATGATAATGTTTCTTAATTATTTTATTTAAAAATTTAATTTTTATAATCACAATTAATACTATTAATTTAAAAGAAAAAATATTAAAAATGTATGTTTTCTCTTAATTTTATTTTCTTTACAATATATAGGTGAAATATATAAGAGATAAATATATATATTATTATATTTCTGTATAAATATATATATATAATTAAAATTGTAATTTATATATTTTAATAACGTATATTTATATATTAAATTATATAAAAAATATATTTAAAATAATGAAAAATAAACCTAAATAATTTTTGTTTGACTATAAAAATTATTAATAAATTAAATATATAATAATATATAAAGCTATATAAAACATTTTCATTTTTTTAAGTAAAAAATAAAATAATTTTCATTCATTCAATATATTTCTAAAATCCAAAATAAATTCTAATCTTATTGTCACTATCAAAACTTTTAAATTATCCTTCCATATATGAAAGCTTGATTCTTTCAAACGCAATTAATAAATCATAGAAATCTTTGCATTTAACTTAAATATTACAACCATTTTATTCTACTAAAGCTTTATAAGAAATATACTTTAATATATGATTTAATTTTTTTTCAAATCAACAATATTAGAAACATTAGTTATAAGAATATAATTATTGCAAAAACCAAAAAATGCTTTATTATGAAATCCGAATTAATTTTAAATTTCTTATTTATTTTTCGTAATATAATCTACAAGTAATTAAATATCTTTAGAATAAATAGCAAAATAGAGTTTAAAATTCATGATAATATTTTTAATATTATTTTGTTATAACCATTTATTTAACCAGGCTTAAAAAAAATCTCTTTTATTAATATCTATATGGTCAATAATAAGGGTATTTTAACTTTCAACTTCTATACTTTTTACAAGTTCGCCCAAAAATACTTTCTTAAATTAAAATTTTTTCTTAAGTTATTTATTCTCTCATCGCTATTTAAATTAATTAATGATACTGATTTTTAAAATTATTATTAATTATTAAATTATATTAATATATGCCTCCTTTAGTTAATCATTTAATATTCCAAATCATCATTTTATTATAACATTTAATGCAAATATTCTGATAAACATTAATATTTTTATTCTTAAATATCTGTAAATACAATTCTATTATCATTTAGTATTTATATATCACTTTCATTTAAATAATCAATACTATCTTGTTCTAGTTCACAATTTTTAATACCTTCACTATCAGCTTTGACGTAAACTATTTGATTTTATTTTTCTCTTGGATTTTTAGCCCTTTCATAAATATGATTTAATATTTCTTTTGTTTTTAGGCTTTTGCAGCATGCCTAAAATCTTATTTTTAAAAATATAAAAAATTTATTTTTTAAAAAATATAAAAACCTAATATAAGACTCCATAGATTTACCATCATCTATAATATAAAATCGATCTAATTATCCTTAAGAAACAGAAATTCTACAAACCCAAGTTTTTGAAGCCCATTTTCCCTTTTTTTTATTTATAAAAAAATAAAAAATATAAATTTTATTATATAAAAAATACCCATTTAAATTTAATAGGAATGAATTCAATATTAACTTCTTCATTAACTTAGGGATAAATAACATCCATCATTTACACAATTTATAGAATTATTTCATCTTTTTATTTGCTATTCAGATTAATACCAACTACACTTAAATCTTAGTCTCTTACTCCAATTAATATAGTACCTCCTTATGTATTTAACATACTGACAATTGTTTTTAATATAATATGCTTACATTCTTTAGAAAAAGGGTATCTGTAGTTTTTAAATTCTACTTGTCTATCTTCAGATTAGAAAAGTCTTTCTTCTTTAACAAAAAAAGAACGTTAATTAAGAGGCTCATTTTCTTAAATCGAATTTTTTTTTATTTAAAGTTTTTTTGTATATTCTTATAAATCTTCTAAGTTATCATTTTCGGTTATTTTGTCATGATAATTTTTTTATAGTTAATCAATTTTATAACTTATTTCTTAGTAGAGTTACTCTAAGTAAGCTTGTTTCTTATTACTTTAATCATTTACTCCTAATTTTTTATATTCTTCGATGAAAGATTCTATTCTCTATTATATTATTTTCATATCTATTATTAAATCTGAAACTTATGAACCTTTTCCATAATCTAAATTAAGAGATGAAAGACGTTTAAATTCATTTATTAATTATTGAAGTTCATTTCCTTTGTTTATTGTAACTAAATTTAAAGTTAGGCTATTTTATTCTTAAATAATATTGTTCATATCCATATTTGATTCTATGATTATTTATTTTTTCTACTTTTAAATATAATACTAAATAAAATATATATAAAATAATATATTTAATAGTAATTATATTTTTTATTACTATGATGAATTATTTTTTATTATTTTAAACTTAAAATATAATTAAATTTGATATTTTTTTTTTCATTGTTATAAAACAAAATTATTTTTATTTTTTATTGTTTTTGTCATATAATAATAAATATAATTATAATTAATAATATAAAAGGATATGCAAATTTTAAAATTAAAAATTGAAACATTTTCTATAATAAAAATTTAATAAATTATTTAAAATGTTTTAATTTATTAATAAAAATTAATTATTAATCATTAAATTTTAATTTACTATCTTATCTAATTAAACATCTATTTATATTTAAAATAATAATTATGAGATAAATATTTTTATATATAAATACATTATTTAATTGATTATAATATTTCTCCAATTCTTCCAAACAAATAAAAGGATTTTATTATAATTATTGTTACTCTTCTTATTATTCGAAAATATTAATGTAATCATGAACCTCATCAATTTATTTTAAAATATTATTTTACAATTCATTTTTCTCAGGTTGGTTTTCCTTAATATTTAAATTAATTTAATATATATATATATATATATATATATATATATATATATATGTATAAAAAAAATATACATTAACAATAACAATTTCCTAATTTTATTTAATTAGATCTAAAACTTTTTAAACAGATTTTTTAATATTAGCATATAAATTATATCTATCAGTAACATCTTTAAGTAAATTTTATATATTTTAAATAATATTTTAGTAATCTTCAATACTGTGCTTAATTTCATCTTAATAAAGCCAAGTTTCATATGTATCTAATTAATTTAGAAAATTGTTTTTTTCATTTTCTTCAATAAAAACTTTATACTTTTAATTAATATCATTTCTAGTATTATAAATCAAAGACTCAACTTAATTTTTGATAATCAAAGAGTTTTCAACAAATATGTCATTTTCTTCAAATTTTTTCTCTAAAGCTGCATATTAGCTTACCTAATTTTAATCAAGTTAAAATAAATTACTTTAATTTAGGATTTTTAAATTACTATATTAAGTCTTCTTAGATTTTTTATTTGTTTATTCATCTGTAAATATATAATCTTCTACCAAAACGGCCTCATCTAATACTACTATACCATTATTATCAAATTTAAAACTAACTTTAATACCATATTCATTATATTAAGGATTACTTGCAGCAAATTGTAAAACTTAAATTTTACTATCAAAACCTTAAGGAGGATTAGAATAGAATAAATAAACATTGAAAGGGTTTTTTTTGGCGAATTTTATTGAATTAACAGAATTTAAAGGAACGTTTTTTTCAAATAAGATTATACTTTTAGCCTAAATAATTTCAGAAGAATTTTCTTCCTTTAAAATTTCCCAATTTACTTTTATTTAATAATTATTAATATCTTATACAAAAATTGTTTTTTGAAATATATTTTGATAAAATAAAGCACATCCATTAGCAATACATTCTGAAGAATTTAAAGATTATTTGAGTGTATTTACTCCAAAAGTTTTTTTTATTATTTCTTAAACCGAAGGGATTCTACTTCCTCCTCCAATAATTTCTACGTTTTCTATTTTTCCGATTTTCGTTTCTTTTTTTAAAAAATTTTTACTAAAATAAATATAATATTATTTACTTGTTTCTTTAATTAATTTATTTAAAGTTTATTATATATCGAATAAAATATGTTGAATTTCTTTTTCAAATTGAGATTTTGTTAAATTTTCGTTCAAATCGTAGTCTTCAATTAAAAATTCGCAGCTACAATCTGCTTCAGAATTAGCTGAAAGTACTTTTCTTTATTTTTCGATTGCATTTAATAATCTTTGGACACTTTTTTTAGATGAGAAAACATTTAGACCTCCACTTTTTTATGAAAATCTTTAATTATAGATTTCTAGAAGAGTCCAATCTATATTTCTAGTTCCCAAATTTCTGTCATATATTTAAGAAATAATATTATATTAATTATTTGTAAAAGAAGCTATAAAACAAGATAGTTTAGAATGTCCGAAATCTACAAAAGCAACTAATCTATTTTATTTTTCATTTAATTCTTATTTTTTATAATAACCATAAGAAAAACAAGTTGCTATATTCTCATTTAAAAGCTACATAGGTTATATTTAGACTATTTTACATGCATCTATTAGACTTTTTTTCTCCTATTCTGTATAGTAAGGAGGAATAGATATTACTATACTTTAATTATTTTCAAATTATAAATTATGCTTTATTATACTTTTAAGCTTACCTAAATGTGCTGCTGTAATTTATTAAGGTATTAAATTTAATTTTTCGCCTTTATATTCTATTACATGTATTATTTCTCCTTCTTTTTATTCTTAAACTATAACTTTTGACGAAATCCATTTCGTTTCTTCTTTCAAACCTTCGTATTTTGAAGATAAACCTAATAATCTAGTGAAATACGTTATTGTATTTTTAAAATTGCTAATTCCTTAAGCTTGTCCATTTTCACTCATTAAACGTTAATTTTTACCAAATACGACTACATTTTTTGTTTCTCTTAATGATGCTTCGTTTGTTATTAGTTCTAATATACCGTTTTTTATGCATGATATTACTGATTTCTAGGAACCTAAATCTATACCTATTGGAATTTTGTTAATTTAGTTAATTTCAGATTTCATTTTTTTTTATTAATATTTATTTTTATAAAAAGCTAGCTTTTTAATAGTTTTATACTTTATTTTATTTAATTTTTATTTTTAAAAATTAAAAGCCTCTTATTTTAGATAGTTTCAAAAATATATATAAGAAATTATAAGAAAAATAGTATTATATATGAAATATTAAAAGGATTTTTATAATTTAGTATAAATACTTTCTTTATAAAATATTTTATAACTTAAAAAAAATAAATACTTAAATAATAAAAATGTTATTTTCTCTTGAAAATAAGTAAAAAATAAACCTAATAAATACGATTTTAAAAGGATTTATAAGTTAAAACAACGGAAACACTTAAGTAATATGGCACAAAATACATGGTTTGTATTTTCTTTAAAATATATAAAATTTAAATAATTTGGATACTGATAAAATGATAAATATATGTCATATTAATCCATAATTTTTTAAACAAAATAATTTATAAAGCTTAGAATAAGTATCTTTTACGATGAACATAACGAATTATTCTAAAGCTCTATAAATAGTTAAACATTAAATAAAAAGCATGATATGGTCTTTAAAAAATATTGATTATGAAAATAAAACCGGCTAAATAATATTAAATACTTAGTTTGATTAGGATCTAAAGCTTTAAATAACTTAATAAATCGAACTAAATTCTTGTATAAATCCTAACTTTTTTATCAAATATTTTAAAGAATTTATTGAGGACAAGAAATAGTATTTAGAAATAAAAGAAATTTATACAAAAAAACTAAAAGAGTTAAAAAAAAATTAACATATATTTATTAAGTTTTATAATGATTATGTTAATATCTATAATTCAAAAGAAGATGAAAATATAATAAGTGTTAAAAAATCAGCTTTTGAAACTTACAATTATGATAAAATCATTTAAAATTAATAAGGAAGAAATAAAATAATTATACCACCTTATTTTTTTAATTATGTTATTAATTTTTCTTGTAAACTAAAAGAACATATACAATTATTTGTAAATAACAAGCAAATTGATAACAATATTATGGTAAATTTAAGAGTAAAAAATGACCAAATTATATTTATTTCTTAATTTAGATCAGTAATTGATATAGATTAAGAAAATTAAAAAGCCAATCCATTTTAAGTTTAATAGTAATTATAATAATAATAATAATAATTGCTAATTTAATAATAATAATAACATTAAGGCTTAAGATAATCTCAAGATCACAGATAATTAGATTCTTAATAAAATTAATTGCTTAATAATAATAGTAATTAATATTAAAAAAATGTTACTTAAGTACTTAGAGCAAATTAATGTGAAAGTTATTATGAAGGATATAATTCTTTTCAAAGCTTAAATAATTAAGAAATAGACATAATGTAAAAAAGAAATTCTTAGAAAAATATATTATAACAAATTTACGAATATGAAACTTAATAAGAAAAACTAGAATTTTAAGAAAATTAATAGTCATTTTAAAATCCTTTAGCTTCAAAAAGTTTGTTATCAGAAGAAAATTACTATAATATGAAATAAGAAAATTTGAGCAGTGATTAGAAAAATGAATAGCAAGTAAAATAAAAAAATAATATATATAAAAAAATATAATTAAACTATAATATATTTGATTGATTATATTAAAAAATTAAATATATAAAAAAATCAATTATTTAATTATTAATTAAAATTATTATATATATATTTATGATTTTGTATTAAATGAATAATTGTTATTATATATAATAATTTAAATTTAAATTTTTTTATTTTTAAGATCATCTTTTTATTTTTTAAATTATATTATATTTTATTTAAAAACATTTTCTTATTATTAATAATCTTTTTTTAAAAATTAAAACTATAAAAAATAATTAAATAAAAAAGTATTATATTTTAATTAAAATATATTAATTTTATTTATTTTTTCTTTTATAATCAAAAAAAAAAAATATATTATAATTATATTACTTCAATAAGAACAAATTTATTTTTAGGCTATTCAAATATTTTTTTATTATTATTATCCAAAATTATATGAGCTACTTTACTTTAATTAATTTGATTTTCTTTTATATTTGCTGGATAAATTTTCATAATTTTAGATATAATTCATTTTTTTTTTTATAATTCATTTTTAACACATTTTATGAATATTAGAAATAATTTCATTTTCTAAAACCCTTTAGTTTATATATATACAAAAATTACATATTCTTCTAAATCATAAATACTTATTAATATACTAATTATTCTTTAAAATATAATTTATTTGTTTGCTTATTTTCCTTTTTTATTTCATCCTGCAAATTTTTAAATAGGTTTTATTAATTAATTATTTAAGTATTTGTATATAATTATTTTTTAGTAATTAAATAATGAGAAACAATGCTTATTAAACATTAGAAAATTTAACCTTATTTATATGTATTTATTCTTTATCATCATTAATTTATAATTTATTTTTTCTTTATTTTAATTGACAAATATCATTTATAAAATTTATCAATTTATATTTTATTTATTTATCATATTAAATTATAATATTTTGATATTCATATTACTATTTTTAAAATTTACTCTAGTAGTTTAAGGCTTTAAATATTTTACTTAAATCAGTAAAATCATTTTTTCTGAATTTATCACTTTAATATAATCTAGCCTGCTATTTAATAAATAATTTAATATAGTCTTAATTTTAATGATTATTTTAAATTATTAGAATTTAATTAGTTTACATATTATTATTTTTTTAAATCAGACTATATATGTATTATTAGTTTTAATGTTGATCATATGTTGTGTTTTTACTTTGTAAGTTTATTTTTAACACTTAAATATTTTAATTTTTTAGTAATATTGTTTTTCTTTTTATATTGCCTTAATTTTATTATCTTTATAAATTTAAATAATTATGAAGCAATATAATATTCATTTATTAAAAGATCTAATTATTATAGATATTAATTACAAACTTAAAGCAAAACTTTTTTTTTTTTAATAAATAATAATATAAATATGAATTCTAAATACCTATAGATTTATAAATTGGTGAAATATATATAAGTTAATATTTTAAAACAGAATAAAGAGTAAAAGTTTTAAAATGAATAACAAATTCATCACTTAAAGTGTTATTTATATCCATTATTTTAAAACTTTGTAAGAATAATTTATTAATACATAATCCAATAAACTTTCTATCATTATTTAAAAAACAAATATATAATTAATTATATTAAATTTAATTCTTGAATAATTGCTATATATGGATTTTCTGCTTTCCTAGCATCTTCAAAAGTATTACTATCAAAAGTAATTTCGAAATATTATTCAATTGAAACAAAGCCATCGTTAAATAAGCTTTCGAATTATTTTTTAATTGACTTCTTTAAAAGAACATAAAGAATTTGTTTATAAAATACTATAATTAATATTATCTTATATTTCTATTTGAAATTTACAAGAATCTGTAAAACTTGCAATTATAATATTTTTTTGTCAATAAACTACTTAGTTCTTATTATATACTTCATTTTTTGTATTAGTTCTTTTTGATTAAATAAGAATTAATTTTTATTAAATATCCAAGAATTACCTTTAGAGATTCTAAAATTTAAAATTTTAAAATAATTTTCTAGTTATTATTACTAGAATAAATATAATTTTAATTTTATGATGTCTTTTTTGGATCAAAATTTAAGGAAAACTATATTTTAAACCTAATCTAATTACAATATTTAATATTTTTAAACAAAAGTCTTACTTTTTTTAATACTTTAGGTTATATAACTAAAATTAATTTTAATCTTTAAAATTTAATTATTTCATAAGATTAAAATATTAATCTTCATCTGAATATCCTATTTCTAATGCCTATCTCAATATTTATTTAGAAAAGCTTTATGTAATACTGTACTTTAAATCAATGAATGAATCTTCCGTTATCTTTTCAGTTATTGTTAAAACTAATATATTATAGTTTATAATTTAATTAATTTCTAAAGCTTTTTTTATACTATAATATAGATTTAGCTCTATTATAAATTAAGTTTTATCCAAGAAGGTAATTATTTTAAATTACAGCCACATAATTTTAACAATCTATTATTTTTATTGACATTTTTGGGAAAAATCTAAGTTAAGTTAATTGATATATCTTACCCAATATATTTATTAATTTAAACCCTAATTACATAAATATTAATAATATTTATTTATTAAATTTAAGCTAAGTCTTATATTAGAAATTCATCTTTGGTATAAATTAATCTTATTTAATTGTTATTATACAAACTGATATTTAAATTTAAAAATTTATTAAGGAATTTAAAATATATGTTTTTTTTTATTAATTATTTAAATTTAATACTACTATTTATTAATTATTAAAAACAAGTAGTATTTAGTTATTTAAAATAAATTTAATTTTTATAAAATAATTTTTAAATTTAATTAATTTATTAGAATTGGGATAAAATTTTACTATTATAAAAACTTATATATATTTTTTTAAAAAAGCCTAAAAATGTATACCATATTATTTTTTTAAAAAACTCAATATAAAAAATAACGACAAAAAATAAAAAAGAAGATTATAAGCAAGTAATATATTTAATTAAAAATTAATTTTTATTAAGATTAATATTAATTTTTAAAATAGTTTGATATTTTTAATTTATTAATAATAACACAATTATATAAATGTATTTATTATGTAAAATAAATTAATAAATGTAAGTTTAGTTTTTTATTAATTTAATACTTAATGATAATTTGAAAAAGTATAAAATAAAAAATATTCATATATCCAGTGAATTTACTTATTTATTTTTTAAAATATAAAAATTTCTATGATTATAATTCGCTAAAATATTATTAAGAAGCCAAATTTAATAATTTAATTATGAAACATTAAAAATAGATTATATGAGTATACAATTTATTGTTTGTTTTTTTTTTTTTCTTTATTAGCTATAATTATTAAAATAATTTTAAAATATTTTATAT